ATGTATGCTTAGATCTTTAAAACTACGCAACGGATTTTGATGCGGTTTTTTTTAATAGATAGAGTGATTCTTAAGGAAGGTTTGTATGTATAATACATGCATATTGCACCCGTGCGAAGCCGGGGCGGGTCACTAGTAATTCAATAAAAAATAGTTCGCTTTAAAACTCATTTCTTGCATAATTATAACAAAATATTGCTATTGTAAATGTTTATGTAACTGGAAATGCATAAAAATCTAAAATAGTAAACTTTAAGAAATGAACAAAAAGCTTGATTTGTTATATTATTCTCAGTAAAAACTGATTTTTGAAATGAAAACTTCTTTAGTGGCGTTATACACTTTTTTGTAATGGGTAAAAAATGTTACTCGCGTCAGAACACGTGTCTGATCGAAAATTCATAAGACGGATGGAGCGCAAGGCGCTTGCGCGTATGTTCATGTGTGTTTATGTGTTTAATTGTACGTTTAAATAATGAATTTGGTTTAACTATGTCAAATGATCGCCGTCATAACACAATCAATCACCTCTGTTTTTTTTTTAATTTAATCGGTTTCAATTTACGGCTGATAACTGCCTTCTTCTTTTTTTCGTGATGTACGATGTATATGATGTTTATGACGTACGTTAAATTGACTTAAAAACATCCTGGATATTGTAATATTTGTAGTTTAGTTCAAATAAAGCTTTTATATTTAGAAGATATAGAAAATATTATTATTGTTACTCTTTATTTCCAACTCTTCAACCATTTTAATTTTACAGAAGTGCAAACAATGAGGCTTCGCGTCGTCGTCACGTATCCTACGAGCAACTGCTTAGCATTTGAAAAAAAAACTATTATTAATACACATACCTAAATACTCATAAAAATCGAAACTTGAGACTACGTTATAGCTAAATCAGATAGTGAAATAAGATTAACTTACAAACTCTAAAAGTTATTAACCTTTCTTTCTATAGATACCTAGATCAGATGCCCTTTTAGAATCAAAGATAATGTGAGGTCGCAACTCCTAGCACAAATTGTGCACTAATTGCTTATAAACTCGCCTTCATAAACGACAAATGCGTCGAAAAATATTCTTATACGCAACTTTAGAACTTTTACTTCGTAGGCTCCTTGTGCTTCGCTCTTCAGAAATTGTAGCATGATAATAATATTCGTCACACATATTACTAGTTTGTTACTCAAATAAAATCTGTAGCTGCCAGGAATATATGTATCAAATATGTTTAATTAAGCACGAAAGCTAAACTAAATATTATATATGGTAGTAGTGAGTAATTTTTAGTGAATAGTTTTGACTTATTATTATTATAATGTATGATAGCGATAGTGAAGGATTTATTTTCAACCGTTTCCAGTCGACACTGTGTGTTAAAATATAAAAGATCGAAACAATTTTGCACGTAGTTTCAAAAAATAAGTCGTGGTAATCCCACAGGGATTTTACCAAAACCGTTACCGTAAGCTTTTAGTATATTTGGTTCGCACAGTCCTTTATTTTACATTTTAAAATAATATAATTATTGCATTTCAGAAAATGAAGCATCAGACTATTACGTTCTCGCAGTTAACTATGAAGAATATGCTCTTGTGTACAGCTGCTCCAATTTAGAAAACGGAAAACGACGAGGTAATCCTAAAGACAAGTTATCTACTATTTATATATCTATTTGTTTCCTGCAATGAAACGTCTACTTACGAATTACCTATTTTAGTCGGCAGTTGGGTGCTTAGTAGAACAGGGACTCTGAGTGCAGCAGCCAATACAGCAATTGATCAAGTCATAACCCAAACAAACGGTCTAATTAAAGAGTATTACCTACCCACAAGTCAAAGTTTTGCATCGTGCTTCTACTATCCAAAGTTTGATGAACCACAGCAATACATCGAACTGCCTGGCCCTTGCGACACAAGCATCAGAGGTATTCCGAACTTCAACCCCTCTGCTGTAAGTTATTTAATATAATACTCTTGCATATAATATTATTATATTGAATTGTCAGAATTCTCATGTGCATACTGCATTCTGCTGGTACCTACATATGCCATTGATCCAACCAAACTTAAGCAATTATAAGAAGATGCCTAATGTTCCAAGTCAAGTTTTTTTACCCAAACTGATCAGAGCTCGCCGTGTAGCACGTTTAAGGTGTGATCACAAACATTTGAACTGATCCATGCACACTAATTCTGAATAAAAGCTATATACCAGCTGGGAGTTACATTAAGTAGTTTAGTTTATTTATTAGTTACAGTAACTGAAACTCATGGCATTTTATGTCCTTAAAGAGTTAGTGATAGTTTGGTATTAATGTATCGTAATTCTCGTTTGTAAACAAACAATTCGACAAAAAAACTCTTACTAGCACCAATATTAGTATTTTGCCGTATCCTGCAATAAGAGCCAGTCTTCGAACTATTGAATGTCTACGGTATCAACTAAAAATAACCCTAATATAGACTACAGTCAAATAAACAATCGTCAGGAATCCATAAACAAGCTTAAAGTCTGTTGGAAAGGGCTATCGGATGTAATGGTCACCCACCACAATAAAAGTGTAACAAATGGACTCAAATAGTGCTTATGGAGTAAAGAAGGTCCCATTTACTAATAAACATAACTCAGTGAGCCTAAACAATACCTAAATACTTAATATAAACATATCTGTTCTTAAAATTCAGACACAGATAGATGCTTTTTGATAAAAGCATAAAAACAGGTTGTTTGTGCAGTTTTGACGAGTTTATAAATGTTTTTCGGATTTTCAACTACAACAATAAGTTTCGGGAGCGGTAAATCAATCTAGCTAGGTATCATTCGTCTGTGTTTTTATCGAATAAAAATCCTTATGAACATAGATCATTTCAAGATATTCGAACAAAAAAGCGGCTGCAGAAACTTTTCGCATTATCATCACAATTGCCTGAATTTCTTTATTCTAGCAATTTTCATCTATGAATGTATAAAAGTTATGAATCTTCGAACTGGTATTACTTCTCCATATAGAATCCTACAACTTTACGCCATATTAACTATTGCTCCAAACGGTTAGTTCTAACGAAATGTATCAATTTTTTTCGTTGGCTTTCACTTTAAAAAATTCTATAAATGTTTGCAGCCGAAAAGATTTCCTTTCGTCATTACATGTAGTACAGATAGCAGGCGCCTGCTACGCAATACATTCGTGTTCAAATATGTACTAATACAAACACCGAGCAAAGCTGAGCTTGTCAGTGGTGTCTAAACATAATAATATACATATTTTATTTTATTTCTAGTATGAAGGCACGTGGATAGAAACCGCTAGATACCCACAGCCGACGCAAGCTGGACAGTGTAATCGTGCTAGTTATACCGCAATTGCTGGAGGCGCCATTTCTGTAATGAACAGCCAAATTATAAATGGAGAAATGACCACGATACAAGGAATAGCCGTTGTTGAACGCGATGATGGAACTGGGCAGTTTGAAGTTTCTTTTAATGTCAATAACGGTAAGTAAGCCCAATGTGCAGCCGATTTGTATACGTCCCACGATATTTATTATAGCTATCTTCTGATTATTTCATAAGGACATCCAAGACTATTGTGAGCCGCATTGAATTTCATTGTATCGGTGATATTCTTGTTAATTACTGCTGGTAAAGTGTCCCAATGCAAGCAAAAAATTGATGAAATTATACCGACTGACTTTAATATTTGAGATGCCAATAAAGAAAACTATGCAAAATGCAATTGTTTTAGTACCAAGTGATGTGACATAAATAATTTTTTTTTACATTAAACTAAATACCATGATTAACATAAAAGATATATTAAATTTTACCTTAACTTTTAGACAAAGAGAATAAATAACATTATATACATTTTTGCAGAGATCAGGCGATCCAACTACTACGTACTGGCAACCAACTACCTCAGTTATGCACTTGTATACAGCTGCGCCAATGTAGACAACGGAAACAAACGACGAGGTATATAAACGTTGTGTATTAGTTATTAACATCTCTGATAACAATCAAATTATTAAAGATTCACTCTGAAACCAATTTAATTTCCAGTTGGCAGCTGGAAACTAAGTAGAAATGGAACACTGAGTGCCGAAGACAATGATGCTATTGATGAAGTGGTTAGCAGAACTCAAGGTCTCAATGAAGACTATTACCAAAACACGGATCAGAGGGATGAAACGTGTTTCCGTTATCCCAACATTGCTCAAAATGATGACATCATAATACCTGGCCAGTGTGATCAAACCATTTCCGGAATTCCGGACTTCAACCTGAATCAGGTAAGATTGCGTATTAACAGCCTGGCCACGAAACATGCGGTGCGATCGGTGAGGCGTCTAGCAACTGGAACAAACAAATAGAAATGTACTGAGCAAGCCACGGAGAGCGGCGAGCGGGTGGCGATGCGACCGGCGAATTGCACCGGCGCGGCGCGGGCGAGTGAAACAAATGAATAAATCAGTACGGCACGCCAGAGAATAAATATTTTTTGTATGGAGGCCGAAGCCTGCTGTAGCTAATATTCAGGAAAACGAAAGTTCATTAGGATTTCATTGTTGATGATTATCATCAGTAATTAAAGTTCCGTCTTTTATAATAACATGCTCTGTGGTCGTGGCAGCAAACGTCTGCCAGTGTAATAATTAACTATATTAAGAA